TCGCCTGTGCCGTCTAGTTGCTGTCATGCTACTGCCTGTGCCGTCTAGTTGCTGTCATGCTACTGCCTGTGCCGTCCTCTGTGCGTCCTCTGAGCGTCCTTCTGTTCATGTCTATCTGCAAAACACCACCGCCTAGTCTTGATCGTACACGAATCTTGTCATCAAACGCAAGAAGCCTCAAAGCAGACTAAAAAGATGCCTCGGCATCCTCGCCGACGCTCTCCTTCCAAAACTCGTCAAAGTCAATGCCCTCGTTGCTGAACAGGTCGCGAATCTTCTTGGCCGCATCGACCTGGCGCTCGGGCCCGAAGCCGCCCGGCTGGGTCGACTCGTACTGCACAATCTCGATCCAGCGGAAGAACAGGTCCTCCTTGCCGACGGCGGCGAGGGCGTCGCGAAACGCAAAGACCTGCTGGCGGCGGGCGTCGACGTCAACGTCGACAGGAACGCCGGCCTCCTGCGCGGCGTCGTCCCGGGGCTGCGCCAGGGCCATCCAGCCGTACTCGACGTGGTGGACGAGGACGACGGCGCGGAAGGCGTCGAGGGCCATGTCCTTGCGGTCGACCAGGGCGTGCGCCGTCACCATGGCCTCCCAGTCGAGGTCCCACTCGCCGTTCATGGTCAGGTAGCCCGTCTTCTCGTGCTGCAGCATGGGCGACGTGGCCTGGCGGACGAGGGCCAGCAGGGCGGCGCGCGTCTCGGCGCTCTGGAGGACGTCGGCGCCGTCGCCGTCGCCGTGGCCGTGGCCGTTTCGGAGCTTGCGGTCCCAGTCGCGGCTGCGGCGCACGTACATCTCCTTGTCGCGGAAGCCGACGCGGCGGCGCCACCGCAGCGGGTTGCCGTGGGTGCGGCCGAGGGCGAACTCGACGGGCCACGGCCACACGAAGACGACAAGGACGAGAGCTAGGGAAAAGGTGGCTACTCTCCTGTCTGCATCACAGTAAAGACGAACATAGACTGACTTGTGCTCGACTGACATCTGACTCTTTCGGAGAGTCTAATTTGTGGTTTGGCTCATGCTTGACCCATTGAGCATGCTGTTCTCTTCTCCTATTGTACACCACTCCATGATCTATCTCTAGTCTGAACAGCTTTAGTCTT